ATTTCTGATTTAAAAAAAAAAATGGGGCTCAGAAGGTTATCCTTGCTGGGTTTCTCAGAGTGCCAATTCAGATAATACACTGCAAATGTATTAGCTCTTAGTGACCCTAGTGCTATAGCTGTAGGGCCAAACAGAACAAAAAATTTTTATTCTAAATTTTTATTCTATATTTTAGTGACCCACAAAACTGACAACATAAAATACTCCATTATTTGGACAGATTCTCATTCTTTCAAGGGCTGTCATTCTGCCTCCCTTCCATAAATGTGCATCATTTGCATGGAGTTTAAACTTGTCTCATCTTAATTATGGACAGTGCAGTCTTTTGAGAAGAAAAAGTCTTTTGAAAGAGAAGTGTGGATGTACTGCTTAATGGAGGCAGGACTTGGAGAGACTTAGCTGTGAAGGAACATTGTGCTGGACCATGTATACATCCAGACAAACGAGAGGGTAGATTATCAGGAGGAAGAACATTCAGTCTTTTCTACTTGCTCCACAAATTAGCCTTATTTTCTTGTTTCCGGCCTAAACAACAGATGTAGTGTTCCTTGCTAAGAGCATGAAAAACTCTTGGATTGAGTCTGATGGATATGATTCATGTCCTGTAAGAGGACATTGTTTTCTTGAGAACAAACTCTTTGAAAATTACTGTTACTCTCGTACTATAGTCTTCAAAGGAGGAAATGCCATGTTATATAGTATTAATTATTCATTGAGGAAATGTATTATAGAAATTCAAGTTTTAACTTTGAAAAATATTAGAAGATGCTTTTTTCATCTCCACTGTAACTTAGACCAAGTTTTAAGAAAAATGCAAAGTAGTTTTCAGAAACAATTGAAGTTAACAAAGACTTCTCTTTCTGAAAGTAACTGAATAAATTCAGCTCTGTACCTGGTCTAACATATTGTTGTCCTTTGTGATGTTTGATTCTTTAATGGATACAAATGAATAGAATGAAAAATTCTGCATGTTTGATAGATGAAAAAACGAAGGTAAAGTTTTTGTTCCATGTCACCTCTCTTTCTCTTTGTGCTTACAAAACCTTTGTCACTCCTAATGTGTTGGTAAGGGTGCTGACACTGCTGGGATGCAATAGTGCCTGCTTCTAGTTTCCTGTCTTACTGAATAAATACATTTTCAACACCACTGCCTTCTGCCTTCTTCTCCAACAGTAGTAATGTTGTTGCACTGTGCTTGATAATGGTTTGCCACCACTACTTTCTATGTAGTCCACAGCCCTTAGTTACCACACTTGCTCATTGTTAGTGTTGCTCCTGTTACATTGCACAGCTACTGCTTAATCTGTTCAATACTGAAGGAAAGATATATGTCTGATGTTGTTGCTGATGATTAATGTTTTCTAGCCCACCTTTCTTCAGACCTTGTTTCACCTGGGACATTTCCCAGTATAAGTTTCTTCAGTACTCTGTAGATGAATATATTCAGCTCATAGAGCAGTAGGAATGTTACTGTTTGTGAGGAATGCTATGCATTTGGAGAGTCATTTTTGATAGAACTATTAATTCATCTCACACTTCTTAAATATATTGCCACTATTATTATTAATGTTTAATTTTGAAGGAAATCTAGTTTATGGCATCAAACACATATGATGGCATTTCTAGACATACCATAATCAACTTCCCCCCTCCTTTTTTTTTTTTACCCCCTATTTTTAACATTCCTGGCCTGGTACTATTAAAAATTAGAATAATAATTTTGGAAAGGAAAATGTGCAAGAAATTCCCATGGTTGAGTTTTTGAGGGCAAACTGAAGAATTTGTGCGCTTTTTAGCTGAGAGAGTGAAAGCAGAGGTGGAGCAAAGGTTGCATCTGTGGTTGAAAGAATGAGGAGTCTGAGCGAGAAGTTCACAAAGGGCTTGACTGTTGGATGATATCACAAAACTAAGGCGAATTGGTATTACTCGTTGCTTTTTGATGTTTTGTTGGGGTTTTCTTAGCTTATTGCTCCAATACTGTGTGTTATTTATTGATACGCAAGATGAATCCTTTTACTTCTCTTTCTGTGTTTTTGATTGTATAACACAGTTTTCATGTTTTCCTATAAACTCATTTCCTTGTTCATTCTTGTCTATGTTAGCCTGAAAAGTAACATCTTCTTTTGTATATTAGAATTATTATAGCCTTCATTCTTTAAGAAAATGGTTTAATTTAAAGGACAGTGAATGAGCATGAGTAGACACATACCATAAGCTTTGTTTAACTGTGAAGCAGGTTCCTTGCTCCTCAGTCATTATCGGCCTCTTTTTCTAGTTTTAAAGTTACATTGTTTTCCATCAGCTGAGGATCTAATCCAGGAATAATTTGTCCCTGCCTATATGTTTTCTCTTAGTGCTACATGTATTGCCCTTACTTAAGGAACTAAATAAAACTGTAAAAGCTTAACGTGTTAATTGAAAGAAGTGTTGAAAGGGCTTGTTTCTGACAAGGAAAATCCTTGATCAAGAGTATCTTAGGCATGAAGTATGATTGTTAGAAGCATGGAGAGGACTGACGTTAAGGAAAAAAGAGCCCCTGCCAAGTGTTAAAACTCAGGAAGTTCAAATTGTAATATTCATTTTAGAAATTGGAGGATATATGTAATGCTCATTAGCATTGCAAGCTAATAAATAATGGTTTTAACTCTTACCTGTTTGAAATTCTTCTGACGTAAGAGAATAGCCTATGTTTTCATATTGTATTGTCTCTTTGCAGGAATCAGAGAGTAATAAGTTATGTTCCCTATATTCCTTCCGAAATACCTCTACCTCACCAAACAAGCCTGACGAAGGAGGTCGTGACCGCAGTGAGCTAATGACCAGTGTTAATTTTGGAACGCCAGAACGCCGCAAAGGAAGCCTTGCAGATGTGGTGGACACACTGAAGCAGAAGAAACTAGAAGAAATGACCAGGACTGAGCAAGAAGGTATGTGTTGCATAAGACCAATGCAGTTTGCCCACTCCCAAACCCTACAATTTTTGTGGCATAAAGAATGTGTTTGGTATCAAGAGCCAGAAAATTGCATAATTGGCAAAGGCTAGGATAAAGTTATTCATAGGTTACCATGGCAATGGTAGTTTGAGATTCATTAGAGATTTTAGACAAACATGCCAGTTTTTTAAAACTTTCTAAATTGTGTTAGTTGCCTGTGAGTCAAAGCAATAATGTTGGTTTAGGTGAAAACTAAACTCTTACTTGAAAGGTTATGATGAACTCTTAACTGGTTGTAAAGTTGTGAGAGGTATTCTTCAGTGCGATTTGTTCTTTTTCTTTTAAAAGGTAAATGTTTATTTTAAACAATAGGAATGAATAAAACATGAGCTTGTTTGGTTTGCCTTAGAAATTCTCATCTTTCATCACCTCAGTGACCCAACATCTGCAGCTAGGACAATGGGAAACACTTTAATTGTAAAGAGTACCTAGTTCTGAACGATGTATGTTAAAAGAGATAAAAATGAGGGCAAATCTTTGAGCTCTAAGGCAGTTTATGTATTCAGTCCTTATTCAGATATTTTCATCAACTTTGCTACGATTTTGGTTTTGATAGGAACTAAACAGAATTGCAGAATGAGTTTACCATGGTGCACATGGTTAAGGTCCACTATAAAAATCTCTCACCATGTCAAGTAGAATGAAGTCTTGGTTGCTTCTGAAGCAATGCTTTCTAGTCTGTAAGCTCATACATGAGTTTGAACCAGAGAAGATGTGAGAGCAGGAGGCTCTGAAATATATAAACAGGTGTGAAGGCATCTATGTGGATTCTCTTAGTTATTTTACCAATGTTCTTTAGTGGCATTAAAAATAACCCAGGAAGTGTATTTGTAACATAGTAGAACCATAACACAGGAGAACTTAGTGATTACTTCTTTCTTTGAAATATGAATGAGTGCAGAATGATTTTACCTCCTCAATTTCATGGTATGGTAATGGTCCACTTTAAACAGTGCACTTTAGGATCCCTCAGCTCCATGTAAGCAATGTATATTTCAACTAAGAATGATGCTGATACAATATTGTGTTTAAATATGGGATAAAATCATGTAGGGATGGAAGCAGGCTTTCAAATTTCTTGGCATAATTGTTAAATGCCAGCACATAGATAAATGTGTTCTATAGGTGTCCTTTCTGAAGCTGGTGAAACATCTCTAAAGAGAGAATGTCCCAGATTCTTTACTACCATCTGTCTGTTTTCAGCTGTAAAGATCACTCTTTTAAAAATTGCTTTCCTAGATTTGGTGGTTAGACTAGGAAAACTATTTTAAATGTTACTTTGGCAAAGTTGTTTTTTACAGTCGGTAACAGTCGTTCGACACTCCATGCTAATCAAAGGTCCTGGCTCATACTTTGCTGCGGGTGTATACAAGTTGCTGTTGATTATAGTGACACCACAGCTAAGACTTTTCCAGGAGTATACTGAATGGTGTGCTAATAAGAATGTGCATCAGAAAGTTTAAACATAGTATCTTACTGTAATGATTCAAGTGTTTCATAGCTCATTTTTGTATGAATTCTCAATAATTTTCTGCACTCCCTCTTTATTAGTATACACTGGTTGGTTCAAGAGAGGTATGTGCCCAGCAGAGAGATCCCTCTCACTACATCTGAGCCTTCCATGCTATGTGTTCTCACCAGGTGTGTAATAGAGGTAATTTCTGATCTATAAAATAACCTTGCTTTTTAAAGGCCATATTAGAGGGGAAAACTATTCTGAAGTCTACCTGGAAGTTCAAAGGCAATTGACTGGAGCTTCATGTGAAGTTCTTTTCAATTCATCCAGTATTTTCTGTAGGAAAAAAAGGTCACTTCCATTTTACAGAAACTAATTAGTGAACATCGACTGGTATCGTATAAACCAGCACAGAAAAATCATTAATAGAAAGACTGAAAATTCTTGAAGATGTTACACTTAGTAATTTCAATGGTTTTAAACTTTTGTGTAGACTAGGAATACCAAAAACCTTATGAGAGATTTGAACACCTATTTCAGTATTGAGAGGTTTCTCTGAATTAAAAAGAACTGAACTCTCCAGACTGGTTTGATTGGGTTAGAATAACATTTTAAAAATAATCACTATTTTAAGACTTTGGTCTTTGTTGTGACTGTGGTTGCTGCAACTGATGCAGTGCAGAGTCAGTTGGAGAAATGAGGTCTGAGATTATGAAAATGTTTTGCCATTTTATAATCTCTTTTAAACAACCTAATGCAGATTTTTTTTATAGAGGGGAGCTCCATGACCACCAATGTAGCTGTGGGGATTGGGCGAACATACAGTCATATGTCAAGTGTAGAGTTAGAAGTGGAATAAAGAACCCAAGAATTCCAGTCATCTGCTCTAATCCCCATGCAAGTACAGTAACAAGTCTCTTTTAATGTTATTATATGGTAACTTTCTAGTCCATCTATAGAATCTGAATTTGAGCAATACAAGTCACTGGTGTGAAATAATATTTTGGTGTCATGCTTCTGTATACTACTTGTAATCTCCATTGTACCTCATAACACTGGAAATGAAATATATACTGAAAGACTTTATCATGTCTAAATAGATATATTTAATCAGAGTCCTTTGGCTTCTGAAAATAAGTTGTCTAATGAGAATTTCAACTCAGCAGCTGTGACTGAGGAGGTCAACAGGCATTGCCTAAGAGAATATGGTCCAGCTGGTTAAATCTGGTTGTTGTAGTGATTTAAATGGTCAAGTGCTGCTTGTAATCCAGGACCGTCTGTTTGTAAAGGAAAGAAAAAAAAATGTACAGCTGTTTTAATCTCTCTTTAATAATAGTGCTTCAGTCAGTGTCATGTCTTGTGTATAATACTGGGAACATGAGCACCTCATACAGGACTGAATATACCTTAGGTATGTTTTTATCAATATTTGTAGTTTGAGCCAAGATTACCGACATCACAGAATAAACAACATTTTTTTACTTCATAGTCCAGTATTTGCATACTTTGTACAATAAGGCA